GGGGGGCAATTCTGTGACTCTAGTGTGTCTGATTTATTTGAGAGAAGTATTAAAAGTATTTTTTTTCCTACTTATTGGTTTCAGACTGCTGTTTGACCGACTACTGAACAGACGAACCAGTTAACAAGAGCAGTTTGGTGGCACTGTTGAGGTAAGTATTTTACAATGTGAGTTAAAAACTTCTGAAAAGTCTGATTATCTCTGAGTGTGTACCCCAAATACCTCTAAAACCTTTGGTATCTGTTTAGTTAACACTCTAAAAGTCAAACAACAAAGTCACATATTCTTTTTTGCTCAGACGCACAGTTGTTGTCTTTGAAGCCCCCTACTGGACAATGTTGGAACTAATTCAAAGGCTATGTCATCTTAAATCCGCAGTTCCCAAACTTTTTTAGCTGGCACCACCTTCTATATCCCAAATGGGTTAACCCATTACATCTAGGTTTTTACTGCAGTGTAGCTGAATTGTGAGTACAAATCCACACAAGGCCTTTAACAAACTTTGTTTCTTCAAAGTGTTCCTAACGGCATAGCAGTCACTCTTTAACATCCCTTAGGGAATCAAATAATCGCTAGATAATTTAAGAACCCAATTACATGACTCATCAATGGGGCAAAGTAAAAATTCCTGCATTTAAATGTTCCTTTGTCTCAGCTCACTCTCAGTGAAACTATAATTGCTCCCCAGCCTTTAGTTTGCCCTTCTCTCCATTTACTAAATCTTTCACCCCCAGGTGTACAGTACCGCTCCATAGTCACTTATGTCAACACCTTACCTCAGTCAATCTCACTAAAACCACACCACATGGCATAACTTTGCCATTTCTCAACCTAAGACCCCGGCCAAAGACCACTACTCTCTGTTTCCTTCTGCCTTATCCAGGTTGCCTAAGCCAACCATTCTACTCCATATCTACTGCTTCACCTTCTCTCTCACAGTCACACAATTCTCACTGGAAAATAAACTTGTGCTTTAAAATAAAAGTTTCCACATTAGTCAGCTCCTAACACATCGATCTTATACCATACAGGTTCTAATGTTATTTCTCACACCTCATATCTGTCCGTCCTCTAGCACCGTCTGCTAGAACTGTGTGGTAAAGTGACTAAGAAGTTTAGCCACAAAAAGTATTGTAACTCTTGCACAGCCACAGAGGTATTTCTTATTTATTTACAGTGTATTATTAATATTACTGATGTGAAACACTGTGGTGGGAAAGCAGCGTGTTCCAAGTTCTACAGAAACTATACTGAAAGCCATCTTTAGAACACATTTTTCAAACAAAATTAAAACTAATTTTTATTGTGTCCTCTACAGAGTGAATTATATAACTTTGTCCGACTGCTGACCCTGACATGCCGTGAGATGGACTTCTCTATCTAAAATGCCCCCTGTTGTAGCCCCCCATCTTCTTATTTTGTTTTCCTTCACCTCATCCCAGTTGCCTAGCCCACTCCTCCCGTCTCCAAACACACACAGAGAGACAAGCACTTGGTCCCTCTTCCATTTTCTCTCCAGCAGACTGTGAGGCTGCAGGCCTGCAGACCTCAGGGAGAAGACAGGGGGCCATCACAAGGGGAGGGGGAACAGAATCAATCCCCACACACACATTTAAAAGCACGAGCAAAGTTGACATCAGGCTCTTGACATGACAGAGGCACACAAGCACACGTGCACGCACCTCAAGCTAAACTTGTCAACCAAGGCAAAGTTTTGAGGCTTTCCAGACAACAGAGGTAAGAAGAGACCAAGAGAAACTGCCAAGGAGAGAGGAGAGAGAAGCGGAAGCCCTCGGAGTTTAGTCTGACTGTTATTATTTCCACACTGCGTGATGGGTCGGGGGGTGTAAAGAAAGGGAGGGGGAGGAGGATGAGAGCGAAGCCAAACGGGGGGCGAGGGGAGGCGCAATGCTGCAGGGGGCCTGTGGTTTCCTGTCCGACCCTCTCCCCCCCTTCCCTCGACACACACACACACACACACACACCGCAGCGAGAGAGCAGAAGAATGAGAGGATGGGGGGAATGGAAGGAGAGAGAGAGAGAGAGAGAGAGAGAGAGAAGGAGGGCAAAGAAAACAGCCACTCTGACCAAACTATGTAAAAATGGAAGTGGAAAGAAAAAGAGACAGAATCAGGGAGGCAAATCAAGTGGGTTTCAAACAAAATATGACAAAACTTCAATGAACCTCAAAGACGGGGGGTGGAGGGGAGGGAAGAGCTGCAGTGACACAGTGGCTCAATCCAGTGGTTTGAGAGCAGTAACAGACACAATGCACACGCGTGTCTGTGTGTGTGTGTGCACGCTTTGACATGAATCTGTGAGTCGAACGGTGTGTACGTAGGTACGTACGTGTGTGTCTGTGTGCACCGGCGAGCATGTAAAGTTGTGTAACAAGTCACAGCTTTTTAAGTTTACGGCCGTCTGTGGAGCAGAGTGTCCTCATTTCCTTCTGACTCTAATAGAGAATCACCAACTCTACAGACAGCATCCTGGAGTTTAATGTTTAGCCCTTATGTTCTCTAGGTCCAGGACATGCCCTTTGAGCAGTGTGTGTGTGTGTGTGAGTGCATACGCTCGCATCTGTGTACACACAAGCCTTTGCGCATTTTGTTCCACTAGATAACATCAGCATGTTGATTCAAGAAAAGAGTTGTAGGGGTGGGTGGGGTATTTGGGGTGTGTGTGTGTGTGTTTGTGACCCAGCCTAATTAGGGAAATATATAAAGACACAAAAACAAAAGAAATACTAACTAGTATCAATAACTTTCCCCCCCTTTCGCATAACTTGGTGGAGCGGAGATGAGTATGAAGTTAGACTGAGGGGGAAAAAAAGATTGCCCTCATTCCACACTCGCCCACCCCCCACATCCACATCTTTCTCTCCTCCCTCCTTTCTCCCCACTTCTCTCTCACTCCAGGCTCTAAACAGGATAAGGGCTTCACATGCCAAGTGGAATGTGTGACGCAAGCCTCAGCCTTGAAACAAAGCACAGGAAACAGGGAGAGACGGAGACAGAGAGACAGTAGAACAGAGAGAGGCAGACGTGTGTATTGTCAAGGATGAAGTGAATGGGAGGGCGGCAGAGGTGTGACTGGGTGTATCATGAATCTTTCTCTCCATAACCATCACGAACACACACACCTGTCAAAACTCCTATTCTCTGTGTGTATTCCAGTGGGCTCTCACTCTGACACCACCTCATGTTCAACCCTTGTTCGTCAGTCAATACCAGAGTTCAAACACAGAAATAACCAGTACCCTGAAGCAACGATTAAATTAGTCATCAGACGCCATCTCAAACTCAAGTCAACCCAAATCAACTTAGCTTTTATTAAGTTTTATTTCTTATTTGAAGTCATTTCAGATCCTCACCTGCGAGAGCCAATCAATCGTTTTACAGATGATGTAATGATGGAGACAATCTTTATAGTCAAGATCTTATAGATAGCTTTTCTTATAGAAAATGGTCCAAAAACATTTGAGATTGAAAAAACCCAGATTGACATATTTCACCATTTTTCATGGTTAATTAATAATTTGAGGCTGAGTTAAATAGTTTAGCTTCATATTTAGATAAGTTGACGAAGGTAAAAAACAAAGTGCTATATTAAAACAAAATTAAAAACCAGATGCTGTTTATGAATCTTTAAAAGATAATTACTGAAGTTTTGTCCACACTGCTACCTAACAGTATGTCACTCAACACGAAGACATTTAAATGTCCTCTCGTTTGGAGGTGTTCTGCACACGTACCGACACTTTTCTAACTAACTTTTCTTCGTAACGCTTTGTTATAGGCATAAATGACATCACCAGTTGCCATGTGTGTACATTTTACATCAAACCACATCGAAGTCGAACAAACACTGTGTGTGTGTGAGCGAGAAGACTGTCATAAAAACAACCACACAGTCTAATTGACTAATTAATTCACCAGACACGACAGAGCACCAACACTACTTCACCTAATTTACGTAAAGCCGCCGCAGTGAATTTATGATTAATTATTTCTGCCCACTGTCAGTCACTAAGTTCTAAACACACACTGTGAAGAAGAAGAAGAAGAAGAGACACTTACTTCTGGGTCGGAGGACAGAGTCTGTTGTTGAAGTAGAGACTGTAGTTTGACCGCAGCCTCGCAGATAATCAATTTTCACTAAATAAAAAAAGCGTGACGCAGGAAGAGACTCGCCGTGTCACTGACACCAAGTCCAGGACAAAAAAACAAATGTCTCCGCCGCTCGATGTCTCCACCAACTTCCCTAAGTTACGAAAGTCCCTCTCTGTCTGTGTGAGTCCGCGCTGGTTTCTGTTTGGAAACTGCTGCCGCTTCTGCTGCTGCTGTCACATGATCCGCCGTCTGTTCTCCATGGGGTCGGGCCGCTGGGCGGGACAGGGGCGGGGTGGTCCTGTATGGGTGTGTGCTCGTGATCGTATGTGTGCGCGCGTGTTGCAATTTTCATTCCAGGTTTGGAAGAGACAAGTGGAATTTTTCAAGTCATTATAGTTATTATCCTTAACAGCAACACTTGTGTTATTAATGAAAATGAGAGCCAGGTCATTATGTGTTTAATCACTATGACTGTGTCACTTTATCATTGGTTAGCCATAATAATGGTTGACAAACTGTCACTGTATTAACCTGAAATTAAAGTTAGTGTAGGCAAGACCTGGAAACGATTAAACCATACATTCAAACAGAAGTTACCCCTTCAGTCAACCTAAATGGCCCACTTGAAGTGTATGTTGAAGTATTCATTTGCATTGACACTGTCCTGTTTTTGGTATTTTGCAAGTACTTATGCTAATCTGGGGTGTGTCAGAGGGTTGGCCCATTTCCACCCTTTTCACTAACCTCTATTTTTAAGTTTCATTTTCTGAACAGAAAGATATTTCAATCTAAAAGAAAAAAAAAACAAAAACAAACAGTCCGGTACATAAATAATTTAACTGGCTTAAATAACTACTTTTCGATTGGATAGATACAGTATACAGACCTACTTTGTCCTTTCTGTGAATTTCCCCACTGTGGGAAGACTAAAGGACCTTTTTATCTCTTTGTCTTATCTGATCTTATTTTACATAACATTAGTGGTTGGAGCAACACGTGCGAAAAGCACAGGACAATTTTGATGTTACGGTAAGTCAAATTAAACTAACTGGAAATGAAAACACTTCTACTGACTACATTGGAGATAGAAAGACATGATTTCAATTTAGTCAAAAGTCTAAGACTATATCAAAAACAGACACAATGTCAGAATTTATGCAAAATGTACAACACTTGTCACATAAGCTACTACTGCAGCAGCACATGCAAAGTTAACAATTAACACTAGACAAAGGCCACATAGTGTAAAACCCTGGTGGCTACTCCGTGGTTATACACAGTCATACAGTCCAAATGCATGTACACTGGAGGCAAGGTTAACTTGGTACCATAAACTGGAAATATATTATTTTGAATGTTGGAGACTACAGTATATGTGGCTCGGTGAACAGCCCAGTGTGTATGCTACTGTAACTGTCGACTGCTGGGGTAAACTGCAGCTCCCCCACCACCCAGAAAAGAAATTAGCAGTAGTGATTGGCTATATGGCGGATTAGACTGTGAAACCAGAGCAAATTGGGCTGAGAGTCGACTATATGTTTGACCATGAAGCTGAGAAAAACAATGACCAGAGGTGTGTAAAAGGCAATGTTTTACCTTTGCTTTCTTCCATGTTGTACTTTTGTTGAAGATTTTCTCTGGAGTGTGTACAGAGAATGTGCTCAATCCTGTTGTTTTGGGACAACCCCTACCCCACCCACCCAACCACATCATGCCATGAAAGCTCTGCCCCGCCTCACATTGTTTCATGTTTTTAAAGGTAACCCTACAGCAAAGAGAGAGTCGGATGATTTCTAAAGAGCATTTGATAATAAGCTGCTCTTCCAAAGAAATTGACTCAGCGAAGGTCAATGCGACACTTCCTGCTTGGCAATCCCCTTCAGAGCTTTCGGGTGAATGGAATTCAGATTGGCATCGATGTGCCTACGTTACAAATGTTGACTTTATCAAGTCATCAATCAGCGTTAACGCATAAACAAAACAGGTATGTGTGTATTTATATATATATCTATATATATATATAGCAAGCAACAGCATCAGAAGACGAAGACTTCTGGGGCTAGTAAATAAGGCATAGCACCAACGTACGTAATCAGAGCTGTCTTCCTCGTCAGAATGAAGGAACAAGATTTCTTTAGAAACTTATTCATGGGGTGGGGGGGTGGAGCGACGTAACATAAGCCGAGGATGCCGTAAACCAAGAATCCCCTGCATGAAAAGCCAGTCAAATTGTTTGCATGTGCACTCATACTTGGTCAATATGGTTGATTCTGGTTTCTGGATGGATGGATGGTTTCTGTGTCAGGTCTTCTTAACTTTCTGTGAGACCAGAATCCCAGAGAAATTCAGGTGAAACAGAATGACAATATTAACACTTTCACTTTCACCTGCCACCACAGCCCGGCCCTTCACACTTTGAGAGGCTGAGGCGCAAGGTGAAGGAAGGCGGCTGCTGCTGCTTCTGTGGAAATGACTGTTCAAACAACCTGGTGATGATATGACAGCTGTTATTCCTTGGATGGTTTTTATAGGTGCACGGCCTTTCAAGTCTGAACACACATTGTCTTCGGCTTAGCGTGCTTCGTCTGCACGTGAAGCGGAGCGCGAAATGTAAGGACGTCTTCGATTTCCCATCATGTCATTCTTCACCACAGTGTGTGCGTCCTTTCATTTGCGCATGTTGCGTTGCTGTGGATGATTGACTCCAAAGTTACCAACAAGACTAACAATAAACAAATATATAATTCATTTCACAACAGCTTTAATTCAAATAAAAAGAGTACTGAAATGTTGAATGCAATATTACAATAAAATTAACAACACAAACATAATTATTATTCATTAGCTCGTGAAGCTGCGTCTCTTCACCGTACTGTTACTGTATGTCAGCCTTGGTCTGGTTCTCTGTTTGTTTACAGTACACAGTTTGTAGCCACTGATTAAGTCCTTCAATAGGAAGAAGCTTAACGTTGTGACACACCAGTGAGTTTAGCCTATTTCAAAGGTCAGAGTTCATGTGCACAGAGACCACAAACACATAGAAAACACAGAGAAAAGGTATGTGATAAAGAGAGAGAGAGAGATAGAGAGAGAAACAGAATGTATATGTAAATGTTGCACTGTATATTCATTAGTAGAAACCCGTTGTGAACAAAAGCAGTTGCTAATTTTTCCAGAACAGTTCACAGGTCAAGGGTCATAAACTGATCACTGATTTTTGTAATATATTTCTTAGCTTGTACCAATCATCTCAGACTGACCTTGGCACCAGCAACATAAACAAAAATCATATTTAAAAAAAAAAGTGTGAGAACATTGGTAATAGAGCTACAGCAGAGACATGTGAACCAACCAAATCAAGATAACTGTGTTTTTCAGCCTATGAATCAGAGACTAAGCGAAGGTCAGGTGCACAGGTGCTGACGACACCCTGATATGTCACTGTGTGGTAACACAGCACCAACACTTACTGTATACAGGTGTGATATGCTGTGAAATGACAACTACAAACAGTTTACTTTAAAGCAACTCATAAAGTTCCTTTTCCAGCGTCACTGTGTGACGTGGTCTGCTGTGAATACACACAATACACACAGCCTCCATACAATCAGTATATGGTTGTAAAGGGATAAAGGAAAAGTGTCTGAGACAACAGTGTGTGATTGCTGAGCTCACAACAGTAGTTTTACCACAGTGTAGGAGGTGATAAAAAAAAACAGAGAGAACACCTCCTGTCCAACAGGTCCTTTGTTTGTGTACATGAGCGTAACTGAAGTCCTTCTACTGTATTATCACAACAACGCCTACATGATTCATGCAACACTTTTGCCAAAAATAATCTTACTTATGTAGGTGTTCGTTTTTTGGTTTTCATGTTTATGTGTTTATTTGTTCATGCTGAAAAGTCAATAACAAATAAATAAAAAAACAGGCTGACAGTTTTCAAGGTTATAAAACTCATTCAAATTAGAATTTCTCTTAGGCAAAAAAAAAAAAATCTTTTTAAATAGCTTCCTTTTTTTACCATCATTAAAAAAGTTGCTAAAAAAACCCTGTCTGTGAAATGACACAAAATCAACAACAGCGACACACTGCCTAATAAATAAGACAAGAATGTTCTACCTAGAGAGCACTGGAATGTTTCCAGTGCATCAGTCCATTGATGGGGACCAGTCACTGCTCTGTGAAGAGCCTGAGGAGCAATAGGATTACTCAACACACCACAGCCCACAGAGGTGGGACTCTCACCTGTGTCCTCTAATAACAGGCTTGATCCTCTTACCACTAAGCCACAGGCTACTGCTACTACAAAAGATGTGACAATTCCCTCTCTGTAAAACACGGGACACACATTTCAGGCCAAGTTTTTCATGTGTAACTAAAAAATTACATATTAAATAATAAAAAATAAATATATATTATTTATATTATAATATATATATTAATATAATTTAAATATAAAAAATGGTTTCACTTAAAACGAGCGTCGCCTCTCTCCTCATACCAAAGACGAGCGTCCATGTCCACACATGTTTATGGACTCCAGTGATGTCATTTGTCCAATCAGCATCTGGCTCCCATGGTGAAAAACAGCTATCAAAGTGCTGCTCTATGGAAGCCTATTGAGTGTTAACACTGTTTCATACAACAGTAATACTATAGAAACATAGTATAGTTGATTTAGCAATTAGCAAATCTTAGTGTAAACAAAACGGTAAATATCCAAACAATTAATTTTGGCACTGGCTAAGATTATGGTATGGTAGAAGAAGAAGTAGTACTGCCATTAAAAAAGTTTACATAGCCCTAATTTACTGTCTATTTATTACACAGTATTCGTAAGGAACCTTTCTTAAAACGATCAAGAAAAACCTTCATGTCATCATTCTGACAACAATCATCCACAGAAATCAACAGCAAGTAACAAAGGTTTATGTCTATGTCTGTGCGTGCAAACGTGTGGTGGTTGACATGGGAGGAGCACACTTGGTAAAAGGACCCAGGAGTCAGCTTTGTTTACCGACACAACACAAATAATACAAAAGTTGTCCCTGAGGAGACGAGGGGCTGGAAGCTGGCCTGAGTCTCAGTGGGAAAACTGAGAATTATACGTTTGATATGAACGCGTTAACTTAGCAACAGAAGAGATCAGTCGACAGAAGAGTTGTGTTTTTCACGTCACCGCAGACACAGCCAGTCACACTAAAAAGCTACTGACTATTATAAGACAAAGTC